AATCATTGTACTACAGTATAGTGTATTTTGTACTAGAATACCTTGCACTACAGTATAGTTTTTTTTGTCCTAGAATATAGTGTATTATGCTAGAGTATACTATACTAGTACTATATATATAGTATATGCTATACTATATTCACAACCATTTTTCGCTAACATATCAAATTTCAAAAGATCGTTCAAAACAGTTCCCGAAAGAAAAGTTTGAATTTTTTTGCTCATTGGATAGGCGTTTTTATATAGATTCACATGATATAGGTGAATATAGGCGATATTTTCTAGTTTGGCCGCACTAGAGTGTCATATTTGGGTGTTTTTCCATATGCATTTTTCGCTAACATAGCAAATTTCAAATGCCGTTAAAAATAGTTCCCATAAGCAGAATTTGAATTTGTTTAGTTTGTTTGAAAGGTAGTTTTATATGGATTCATGAAATGTCCACAAAAATATTTTCTTTTTTTTAATATGGACGGACTAGGCTTTCAAACCAACTATAACTCAATTGTAATTATTTAACATGAGCTCTGTTCAGTCGTTAACAGACGTATGTTAACAGAAATGGTTGTGTGTCTTTATTAGTTAAATTCGAATTTATCTTCACACACTTTATTAAGTTTGTGCGTGTGTATACAGCGTTCCAAAGAATTTCAAATATTCCATTGCATCTAAACAAAGTGATTTTAAACGAAACATGTCCATCCCTCTTGTATTTTTGCTTACAGCCTATAGGTCGCTGTTTTTGAGATATTTTGACGAAATATGGCACACGGACTTGCTTTGACCTAAGGACGAAAGCTATTTAAAATGGTTTACATCGAAGCATTCCTTACATAATGCCTTATTTTAAAAAGTCAAAGTAGGATAGGGTAGGGTAGTTAATGGTTGGCCATGGCCCACTACGGCGCCTGCATTCAACAAAATGTGCAGCAACTTTATATATTGGTTTTGAGGTGATGGACAGTCAATCAACGATATATCTTAAGGCAAATATAACTTTCTATCTTGTTTTGTCTCGTCGTGCTCCGACGTCTTTATTTATAGATGAATTTTAAAGAGACACACATTTATCGCTTCGCATTTAAAGTTTTATGTAAAGCAGCAGATTTTATTTCTTTTTTTTTTTTTTTAAATTTTATGCGCTAAGTACAACTTCATCAACACGTTCAACATTTCGCTTTTCATTTAAAGGAAAGTGTGTGCAAATACAAAAGATCTTTCTTTTTTTTTTTGTTTTTTTTTTTTTATTGTTAACACATAAAAGCATGTTCTTGTGTAAATTATGAAAAAAAAATAAAATACGAACTTAAGTACCGTCTTTTAATAATAATTCTGATGTAACAATTTTGCTCTCTCTCTACAATAGTTTTTATTTTATTTTATTCTGCTTTTTATCATTTTTAAAAATTGTATAGTTTTTCAATATTGCTTATGCTGTAGTTAAATATTTTCGTTTTTTTTTTTGCTCTCCCCTTTTAGTTACAGGTGACATAAGCTATATTAAGCTGAAAAACAAATGCAATACATATGTTATTACCTCCATCGTTTCGGAACCTAGTTATACATGCATTTGCACAATTGAATATCGGATTTCTATGTATTGCTTACGATCAAGATGTGAATCATAAATTGGCCGAGTAATACATTTACATTCTACAAAATTTTTCTGTGCTTTATTTTTATTGGATGACAATAACGACCGTAGTAGTAACTGTCTAGAATATCTGGACTATTGACTTAATAAGGTCAAAAGTTATGGAAATAATTTCGAATTTTTTAACTAGTACAGACATTCACCAACTTCGTTAACAGACCTACGTGAACTCCGTAACATAGGTCTATTAGCTGGTTAGAACAAAAGTATGGTTGGATTTGGAAACCTACTTCATCCAAATTAGAAAAAGAAAAAAAGTTTTGTGGACTCCTCACGAATTTATATGAAAGGGCCTTTTAAGGAAGCTAAATAAATTCAAAACCGTATATATACTGTAAGGAAAAGTTATTGATCAAGCATTCTCGAGATATTAGTTGCACTTGATTTGGTCGCATTGACCCTCCGAACGTCATAGAGAAAAAATTTTCAAAATATTAAAAAAAAAAAAAAATGGTCCCGAAGAAAACCGAATATATATTGTACACGGTTGAAAAGGTTATTGATCATGAATTCACGGTATATTCGTGTAAATTTTTCGCAGCACTTGGTTTAGCCGTAGTAGCTAAGTAAACTTTCGAAATTTTTTCATATCAAGTATTAACTAATTAACATAAAGACATGTTTTGTTTACAACATTTTTTGAAAATATGCTGGAAAATTTCTGTTTTAACTATATATGGATTTAAATCGTTCCGAGATTTCGTTTAATGGAAATCTGCTAATGGCTTAGAAGAGCTTTGCTAAAATTTTTGACTCGGGCCTATGCTAGTTATATTTAAAACTAACTTGACAACCTTTCATTTTTATTACCATAAAAATTAAAATTGGTATTCAATGAAAATTCAGTCCCCAAGTGCAGTGTAGAAAAATTTCAATTGAAATTAGGAATAAAAAAATCAATTTCGCAACTATTCATCGCTACTTGATTAACAACCATGCATGCATTAATATGGATTGCAGCCAAAATGCTATCATAAGCAAATATGTCATATATGTTTAGCAATGTTTAGGAAGGCAGTATTAACATTAAAATTAGCACATTTTTTTTTTTTTAGATTCGTGCTAGAACGAAACATACGTATAAAAGAATGTACTTCTTCAAGGCCATGTAAAGAAAGAGTTGGCTGTATGTTATATTCATCTGGACGAAAACCATCGATTTTCATCGCTTAATATCTGTACACAAAAATTTTGAAAAAAATGCTTTAAATCTAATCGAACTACGTTAAGCCTTTGAGAAACATTTGAATTTGTATATTTTACATTATATATATGTATATATATATACCTTGTTTGAATAAACTATTAACAAAGACAGCCCAAAACACTAAAGTGTGCCGCTGCCCACTCTACACCACTTTGCTTAATGTAGTTATTCATATAACGGCTTTTCAAAATTAGTCGTTATATGAGAAGTGATCGTGCAAGTGGTCCATTTCGAGTCATTTTTAATAATTTTCGTCCTTGGGCCAAGACATGTTGTTATACGAAATTTCATCAAAACACTTCCAAGATTACGAACTATATGTTGAAAACAAGAATACATGGACAAAGAGCAGATGGACAGACAGGCGAGCTCAGATCCATACGGAAAGTTATTCTGTTATTCTATCCTTATTATTTTCCAAACAGAAGCATAATCCAAACTTCGTTTATTGATTAAAGCTAGCTTTTTGCATTGCTTTGCTTTGATTTAGAAAACGTTACAGAAACCCGTGTTGGTCGCATTTGTCGGAAAGCCGCGAAAAAATCCTCAAACTCATTTTCGATGATCGAAAAGTGAAGTTGCAGATAATAGGCGATATGCTGAAGATATTAAAGCCAATGTATAAATTTGGCCACGCGAAACTTGTTTCTCAAATGGCGATCTTTTTTTACTCGCAACGAAACACAAAACAAGGTATCATGATTTGATGGCTACAATGGGAAAATTGTATAAATGAGAGCTCGATATGAATTTAATTTTTAGAAGGCTCAAAAGTGTTGTAACTTCTCCAGCTACTTGTTTTTAGAAAACAATTTTAATTTCAAGTTAATCATTAAAATAAACAAATAAAATTAAAATTTGGACCCCCATTGACATCGGTCTACAAATTACAAAAATATGGCCGCGCGAGATTATGGCATAATTTCTATCAAACTAAGACATATTTTGAGCGATTTGGCAGATATTTCTATGAAAAACGAATAGAAATACAAGAGAAGGTTGTGCCGGCTTATATTACTGTTCAAAGACTCTGTATTGGTGAATAATGTCGAATACTGGGGAAACAAGCTTTTTCCCTAATTCATCTCAGAAAACATTAACCGATCTACTCATGTTTCTATATCTATGTTTACATATACATTACTCAATGAGTCTCTTGTCTAAAACATATATGCCACCGCTTTTAACAGATCAATATGATCTCTGGATATTACCAAGCCTCAAAGGATACGTGTGAATATCTAATAACAACGACATTCCCATGACCCTATCTTTATGATCGCCTTGAACGGCTTTCGCCAGTTGTTGTCCCCACGGTTGACTGTCAATAGAGTTGCCATATTTTTATATCAGACTAGGAACTTATTAAGTGATGTGATGCATAGTAGATACTTTCCTCTTTATGTTGATACGTAGATGCGTAGATATATATCTTATTTGTAATATATTGAAAATTTTCCTTATTTGAACAAATACTATTGGTGGCAGCCATTGCACAATTAGGTGCCAATCGAATTAAATTTCCGTTTCTTACCCTTAATTGTCAACGCTTAGAAAGTGGTTCTTAACATTCTTATGATAAGTGGTAATAATCTTCTACACTAAATAAAATTAATTGAAGTGTTTTTCCCTTTTAATCGGATCGCAGACAACGTAAAACGCAAAATAATTTCTTGTTGTACTTTTACAAGCTCTTCAAACGGGCTAAACTATTAGCAAGTAAATTTGCGGGAAATGAGTATTGCAAAGAGAAAATCTTTCAGTAATAAATAGAAAGTTAAATAATTTATCAAGCAACAAAGAAAGGAAAAATATAAATAAAAATCAACGTTTATCTGGAAATGATGTACTCATGTACTTATAAGTTGCGTTCGCAACGTTTTGCTTTTTCGGCGCAATCTTATTAGAAAAATTATTACTGAACAGTTTTTATATATCTTTTCAATTTTTTATTAATAATATTTGATGTTTCATGTTATCTAGTGTCCAACTAGCAAGAGTTTGTTAACAAAACGCTTTCTTATATAAGTATTTTATGTAAAATTGAACAGAATTACAATAATTTATTTATTAATTTATTAAAATCGATACTTCGTAAAACGCTTCGTTATATAGCTATGCTTTACTAAGCTGACTTACCTTTTATCCTCCAATAAGCGTTCGGCAGTACTTAGGCGCAGACGCACAGTCTTCATGCTTTGTAATGGAAACAATTTACAGAAACGCGTTAAAAATTTCGCTCGCCAACAATAGTGCGGATATTCTTTGCATACCGTCCATAATCGTTCGTTATGCTCAAATAAATACGTATGCATTTTACCATATTCGAGGAAATCCTCCATTTGATTATTATAATCACAGAATAAGAGATTTTTTAGATTTTTTAAAGCCAATTCTTGTTCGTCGGGGTCGCGAATTTGTTTAATACCAAAATTTAATAATGGCTCATAATGGTAATAATTGCCAGGCATGGCATTGAGTATATCACCCAGGAACGTAGAACCGGATCGCCAAGAAGCAACGATTAAGCTGCGTACTGGAGTTCCCTCGGTCTCCGGTGTAAGATCAGCTAGTTTCTCAGCATCGACCCCAAATCTACCGGAGGGATAATCGAAATATTCCATTTCAACGACAATTTTTGCACGCTGGGCAGCGAGCACATCTGCTATAGTGGCAGTTACATTGTACACTACTGCTGTCTGCTGAGGCATTGCACGGTTAAAGCGGTCTCCAGCATAAACGGAGCCTGCACCAAATCCATTGCCTGCAGAGGAATAGCTACCAACGACGGCATTGCCTCCCAAACTGCCACTGCCAACCGCGCCCACCGCAGCTGATGAAGAGGCTAGCGAGGCGGGCAAAGGTCTATGTTGGGTGGTGGCTATAAGCAGCAGAATGCACAAGCCACTCACACCACAAATACCAATCAAATTGGCTCTGCGCGACATTTTTCTCCGTTTTGTCGTGAACGTAATTCGCTGATGTGGTGTCTTTGTTTTAACACTGCCACCGGCGGTCACTCCGGTTAATAGCGAAGCTGTAGCTGACTCCGATTCGTTTGCAGTACTCATAAAAATGGTTTTATTAATTTAAAAACAGGGAGTAAGGCAATTCTCTTGTGTTTATCACAAGTGAAACAAAAAATAATAATAATAACAAAAAGATATGCGAACGACACAAAATTTATTATACAGCATGCAACCTTTTTTACATTTTACTTCTCACTGAAATTAAATTGATTATTGCACAATTAATTCCAACTTTTACAAATTATCCTTAATTTTCGCCTTGCTCTTTTTTAATTAAATAAAATAACTAACAAGTCTTCCTCCGCAAAATTCTTCATTTCATGTTTTCCAATTTTTTTGCTTGCAAACTTTGTTTTGTTTTCTTGTTTTCTTTTTATTCTCTCAACTGGCAAGAAAAAACCGCAATTTATAATGATTTTCATATATTAGAGGTTTGTGCGTTGAGACATAATTAATTAAGAAACGCTTTAATTAAAATAAATATTTTAATGTACGTGCCTAACCAAAATTTATTATTATCGCACTAATAGAAATATACAAAATTTACAAGCACTCACGCACTGCACATCTCCCACCTTTCACACTTTTACACATAAAAAAAAACAAAAATACTTGAAACAATTCACACGCAGAATGCGCTTTGCTCAACTCAACTAAAACAACTGAAACATCTGTTCAATTAACAGAAGACTATTATTCCACAAAGAACTCAAATGCAACTTTGCGTCATAAAATCCATAAAACACATCTGCAATTATACAACAGAAACACCTGATTCTGACCTCTTAACAGAAGAGTGTTATTTCATACAGAATCCAAATGCAACTTTGTTTCGTTAGTTGCATAAAACACATCTGTAATTATACGACAGAAACAGCTGATTCTTAGACATATGCTTAAGCAAATTTCTATTAGTTTTCAGTAAGCGCGATTAAAGCATTTCAAAGTGAAAAGTAATTATTATTATTTATTTCTTATTCTTTTCTTGTCAGAAATTTTTACAATTTTTGTTACTCTTATATTTTTAGTGTTATTCTATTCTAATTGTGCGTACAGAAGAGTGCTTAGTGTGCAATTATAATGGAAAAAAATCAGTTGAAAAAAGATCGTACCTGTATTTTGAATCTGCTGGGAAAAAAATCTGAAAATGGTTAGATTTGTATTCATATTCCTCTCTTTTTCTTCCTCTCTTCTTTATGAATTAAAGAAATTCTCAATGAGTAAAAAAATTTTACAAGAACAATGTCAAGCTATCTCAGAATGGTGACAAGAGAACCTCACAGGGAATTGAGTGAGTAATAATATTAAAAGTGATGAAAACTCCTCTCCTCATTATTTTATCAATGTTGTCAATAAGACAAAAAAGCAAGAAATCTTGCCAATAAAAGTGCAAAGTTTCAAATCTTTATTGAAAATAAACCGGGGCGCACCCAAATGGTTGTTTATAAATGAAGAGAAAGGGAAAAGTGCGCAGAGTACGAAACCTTTCGCTTAACTCAATATTTACCGGATTTTTCATTGACTTTACGTCTGAACATATATCGGAGCCGTACAACTGATGACTGAAATGATTGGACGGTTAGTGCGTTTTTCTCCCCTCTTTTTTACGTTACTACTTATTTGGCAGCACTTTTGCTGGCTTTGTTATTGTAAAATTTTCTTTTCTACTCTGAGAGTAGATTTTTTCAAACTAAAAAAATTTGCATTAAAAATGTAACACACCAGGACTGCCATGCATAAATACCCAACATACGATATTTGCTTAACAAACTAAAGCATAAAGATTATTTCACTTTTCATATCCATTGTCAAAGAAATCATTTTTTGATGCGCCTTTTCTGTACGGGATATCTTGTGTCATTTCAAAAACAATATGTATTTCTATACAATTTGCCTGAAATGATTAATTCAGAAATGTTAACGAATTTTTAAAATTTGCTTTTAAAGAAAGCATTTTCGCCTGTTATTTTCTTTATTAGTTTTCTTTATTAGAGGTTGAAAAGTCTATCAATTTGGCCAGCAATGCCACGCATCAGTAGGTAGTATAAAGATTCTTTTTACCAAAAATATTTGTTAAATTTATAATATTACGTTGGTATAGAACAGATATATTGTTATGAATGCATAGCTAAAAGTCCGTCTCTTATTTACGCAATCATGCGGCGTCCGTAGTTACAATTCGCTTTGGAGAGTTACAGGTTTGTGTAAAATAATTCATTGCTGGTGTTACCGTCTTCACCGCATTTGTTAACAACTGAACGTGATTAGTTGAAATCAGTAAAATCTTGTTGAGTAATTGAACCCTTATTATGGGCACATTGAGTCGGGAGGTTAATTTACCGTAATGTTATTATCTGTCTCTCTCACTCTCTCTATTACTTCTTGTAATTCATCTGGCATCGCTCTTTAAGAGAATAATCGTGTAATCGTGTAATCGAATAGTCCAATTAGTCGTATCAAAAATTGCATCTCTGTTGTAAACAAAATCCCACTTAAAATGACAAAAACTGACTTCACCATATGTGCTTCTCTCTTTTTCTCTCACAACCTCTCAAACACAAATAGAATTTTGTTGGAAAAATTAAAAGAAAAAATCATAAATATCGCAATTCGTATAATTATTCGCCTTCGTATGCATACTCGTTGTCGATGTCGTCGTAGTAGTAGTAGTTTTGTGGAAAGAAGATTGAATGTGTGTAATAAAAAGTGCCGCCCGACGAAGAAAATTTTTAAAAGGAAATCTTAAGAAAATTAAAAAAGTGCAGAGTTTTGGAAACCATTGAATTTATTAATAAGCAGAGTTAATATCGTAGAAATAGTAACGATTTCGATAGATAATGAGCTCAATTATTGTATTGGATTCGTCCGATGAGGATGAGGTAAAAATTGAAAAAAGACCCAAAAGAAAAAAAAAGAGTATTTTTTCTAGTGATTATATACGTTTATTTGTGTGCGTGTGTGTGCATAAAATCTACACGATTACTTTTTTATTGTATATTCAGTCATTAATAAAATGAAAAAAGGCAGCACAATACATCCATTCCACTAGTGATGTGAAGTGTTGGAATGAGAACTGTAAACAAGAGTTGTGTGCGAGAGGTTGTTATTATTGTTGTCGTTGTTGTTGTTCCTGTTATGGACATGTGTAAACAACTGTTGAAAGTTTTAATGTATAGATCAACACAAAGTAAACAAAACGAAGAGAACGTCTTTAATTTACTTATTTTAAATAATAAATAAAGGAAATCAATTAAAAAATGATGAAATCTTAAGTCGACTACTTGTAGATGATTAAAGAATTTGTACATCACTAGTCATTCGTAGAAGTCTCCAAAAGACAAGAAACCCGAAAAAAGTGTAAAAACAAACCTTGTAAAGATTTATTTTGTGTTGGTGTTCGTGAGTAGAGAAGCATGCACATTTTTATACATAGTCTAACTAATACCACGGCACTCGTGTCAAAGTGTGTGCCGTATTTTTGCAGTACATATTTGTATGGTTTATTAATTACTCTTTCGAGTTTTGTACAGTTTATACCAAAAAATGTGATTGAATAACACGCAATTAGTCTGTGTTGTTGAATCTAGACCAACGATGGAAAAGAAAAAGTCTCCAAACTGAATAAAAGCGATTTAACATATTCTGTTAAACGAGTGCTTCCCGCGTTTTATTATTCGTCTATGTTGAATAGATAAATCATGTTAACAGAGGCAGCCGCAGTGACAGCGAACGTATGTATGAATGATAACAGGATTTTAGTAGTGATAGAAAAAGAGAGTAGAGAAAAGTGTTGTTTATATACTTTGCCATCTAAAGAGGATAATAAAGGAGGCATACTTTGTAATATACGTAAGTGAGATTAGTGTTGAGAGCGAAAACAATTAGAAAAGTGATCGTGCATTATTCTGTTGATCTGGTAATGCTACTCTCACTATAGACCGGAAAAAACAAGGAAATTGTAGAAATATCCTGGACAATAGATCTTCTGCTCCTCTCCTTGTTTTCAATTACTATTATTAGTTTGATATTTCAGAAAAAACATTCAAGAATATTTTTAATGAATTTTCGTAATTCCAGAATCCGCCTAAAAAAACTAAAAATTCTTCGATTAGTATAACCCCTGTCAAGAACTCGGTCGGTGAAAGTATAGCACTAAGTATCACACAAAAGCCTCGATCAATACCAAGTGGCATTACTGTCACGACTCATCAGAGTTCCGCAGGTGCGCCGACAAAACATCCGAACGATGTTGCTGACGAGTTTTCTACAAATTCTTTGCAATCAGCGTTTTCGTCAGCTTTAGGACTGCCTGCAATTAGGAACAATGTGAATAATTTTGAAAGACAAGCGCCTACACCGCCCAGACAACAAACTCAACAACATCGTAAGAGGAAAACTCCAACGCCTCCTCAACTTCGTTCAACGCAAGTGAAACCATATTCACATATGTCTAGTTCATCATTACTCTCACCGGCCGCTTCAGCTACCACAATGGCACCTTTGCCGCCCCTAATGCCCGCTATATCGAGCGTTCATTCACTGGGTACGGCTGGAAATACACCACCTTTACAATTGTTAGCAACGCCGCCGCGAACTGCTGGTGGATTTAATTCCCTCAATGATCAACTCATGATAAATCCCCTTATGATGCACACAAATCTTCCACCTAATACAACGATTACAGCCCAACCATCGTCACACAGCCAAAATAACGTAAATACTAACTTCAAGATACATTTACCACCAAAATCGAACAGTACGCCATCACCAATCGCTTCACCGTCTTCGTTAGCATCTCAAACGCCGTCACCTCAACTGGTCACTTCACCGACACCATCAAGAACGGAAAAGCCAGGCAGACGTATAAAACCAGAGACTATAGTGAAATCGTCGGACGAAATTTGGCAGCAAAAGAAACAAAAAAAAATCGGTGCACCCTCTAAATCTCTTGTTTCCCTGAGCGACGATGTCGTTATTGAAATGTTGCCGCCAATTGCAGAATCTCCTAAGCCTAACCGAACATGCACTACGTCTCCGAGTATACCGAAAAGTGGCAAATCTCCAGACATTATTGTATTATCTCCATCCACTAAAACACCGGCAAAAACTGCGGCCATGGATCTCTCCAATTCACTCGAGCGAAATAGCACCCCAACTGTAGTTATCGATTTAGCTGATACTTCACCGAGTACGCAAAAATTAAATGGAGATGCCACTATCGCAGATGGAGCAGTCATACCTGAGAAGCCTTCTAGTGATAGAAATGGTAACGCCGGAACGGAAAAGCCGAAGAGTGAACAAAAAGAAAAGCTGACGAAACCCAAAATTCCCTTGGAGTCAGAATATGAAGAATTAATTAAACTTTGCCGACAAATTGAACCGTCCGATGACATGGAAAAACTCATAAAAACCAAATTGATCAAATATTATTATGAAGTGCATCCGGATTTTGTTAAATCGAAAAGTTTTCGGAAAAGTGTTCGACGCGTTATCGAAGCAATTCGTACGGAACCGGATTTGATGTATTACAACTTGAAAACTATAGTGGAAGAATTAAAAATAAGACGCAAAAGTCACCCCATAGAAGTGGAAAATGAAGAGACTGAAATAAAGGTTAAAAACGATTTGCAGAGCGAAGAAGAGGAGGCGCCGCCCGCAAATACACAAGCGACGGATGTCATGTCTACTGGGAATAAAAAGACCGATGAGCAAATACGAAAACTTAACAAAGCCTTGTATATACTAACTAAACGTATAAAGGCCTTAGAACAGGCGGAAGTCGAATGGGATAATGATGATGAAGACTCAACATTCCTACAAATGGAACGGTCCAAAAAAAGGGCTTATCAAGTACGTTGACAACAGAAAGCATTTAGATTAAGTTAACATTTTTCTTTCGTAGATCTATGAAAAAATCTGTGATTTAACGGGGGAAAGTAAAAACGCACATCGCTTGGTCAAAAAGCCCATCAAATTCAATGGCACGCGAATCCCTCAATTCAATAAAACATTGCAGGCATTCATTAATCGCACAAAAGAATTCCCCGATTATTTTGATGTCATGCGTATGCTGGAGCATTGCAATCGTACTTACGACTTGGGCTTAGTAAATTTTGAAATTAAAAATATAGGTAAATTTTAAGAATCGGGCTATATGATAGTATTAAAGCTAAAAGATTCTAACTGGCATTCTTTGTTTTTTTACTTTGTTTCTAGCGGAGGACGCTTTCATAAAAGTGGGAAAATTACTGCAAAAACGGCGTAAAACAGAACTGTATGAAACCTTGAATTACTTTGCAGGCACCAATAAAGATCCCGCCACTTATGATCCCCTCTTGGCCGCCAAGCTTAATGAGAATCAACAAAATCAGAAGAAAATCAATGACATTTTAGAAAAGTACGTTAGGCAGCAAGAAATGCCAGCGGACAATGGAGAACGAGGGGAAGAAGCTGAAGATGCAATGGAAGAGAAGCCTACCACTTCCAAAAATGTTTACGTTCAAGGCGCTAAGGATGCGGAGGCAGTCTCAGAGATTATTGAAAACGAAGCCCTCGATCTTAAAGTAGAAGCTGAAGATGACTTTGAAGAGGAGGAGGAAGACGATGATGAAGATGAAGACGAAGAAGTCAATTTGGAAGAGCATGTAGAAACCTTAGCAAATGGTGATTTATCTGATAATGACTCCGACATAGAAATCATAGGCAAACCAACTCAGTCTTCGGATAACAAAAAAGAAACTGATGAAAAGCTAATATCATCGGCGGAGTGTCCTAAAAAATGTGATATTATAACGACTTTAGAAAAGCAGCAGCAGCAGCCGCAGCAGCAGGAAGAAGCACGTACAATTGTGGAAAGTGCTCCAATTGCTGATGAGAGCAATAGTGTAAATAATAATAAAGAAAATCTTAAGACTGCAAACGTTATAGAAGTGGAAATCCCTAAGGCAACTAATGAGCAATTGTCAACGGGGACGTGTTCCTCATATTCTTCTGCTTCAATAACGCCCAATGGTAAGCTTAAAGATAGTAACAATGCAATGCAATTGGAAATTGAAACTGCTACCACCACCGTCATCACCAGCAAGAGCACCGCAACAGCTGACTTAAAGATTGTGACTGTTTCTAGTCTAAATCCACAACAAAATCAAGCAATATTGACGGATAGTTCGTCAACTACTTGCGCACCTGCCATTAATAAATCATTGGATCAAATTGTTATATCCGATGAAGAATCATAGTTTAGATATGATAAGAAACTTGAGAAGCTGGAAGCTCTCAAAATCATTTCAAATCCAAAATAAATATTTTTCTTTCTTGCAATTTTTAGAACGATAACAAAATCCTGATCCCCCCCTTATTACATTTTCTTCTATAAATAATAATTTATGTTCATTTCATCCATAATTATAAGGCTTTCAATTATTTAACAAAATCCACACACGTAAAAAATATAATATATTTAATCGAATTAATATAAAAAATTTTGTTCTATTTATTTTTTCTTTTTTGTTATATATTTATTTATTTCTTAAAAAAAAAAATAATAATAAAAAAACATTTCTCTTATCTTAAAATCATCGTTAATTTAATTTTTTCCCCATTTTTTGGTAAATCTAAATCTAAAATTAAAGACTTTTATATATATATATATGTATATATATATATATTTAAAGCATAAAAAACTGTCGTGAATCTTAATTATTAACAATAATAATTGTAAGAATTTTGTATATAAAAGCATTCATGCATATTAAAAAAATACTGGAGAAAATTTAATTTTAAACTCACAAATACAAACACATAAAAATAAAATTTATATTTTGTAAACATTCATTAATTATTGTAAAATAAAAGAATCTTTATTTAATGTTTAACAAATGAGTAAAGTAAGACTTCGAAGTCTGATTACAATATGAATTTGAATCAATTTTGTCCGGAATCCTTAAGCGCTTTAAAAGTTTGAATTAGTCACTTGAACGATTAACAAAGTAATAGATTCGGATATGTAAGGATTGCGTATTGGAATAATCCGAATCAGCGAAAGCAGGTAAGCGGGTGTTTCGTATGACCTGGATGGCATATTTTAAAATAGTCCTGATCAAGTCGTTCAATAGTCTCATGCTGTGAGTTTTCCCTTTTTGTAATTGAAAAAGCTGACTTCACATTGACGATGTCTCGGGTAAAAGTTTTTTTATAATCTCTTCAGATATGTTTGATATAACGTCCTACAGTAAGGCACTCATCGCAATGACGCACCCGCACGCATATATTGGCGGTCAAAAGCAGACGTAATGCTAATTGCGAGGATTCGTCCGCGTAAAGAATGTCATTTAAGCTTAACGCACCGATATTTCGGTAGTAACAAGGACCGTCCATGTACTCTCAGGGTCATGGTTCTCAATCTTTAATATAACTTCCCGATGTATATGCATATATTAAGTGTTTGCAAAAATGTTGATCACTTTTTCACTTGAAAAAGTCGTTTATTGTGGAAAATCGGTACAATATCTGTTAATCAAAGTAGTTTCCATCGTTTTCTACAACATTTTACAATATTTTTGGCAACATGACAATGTCATGTCGAAAGAACTTATCCACCCATCGACCAACTTCAGCAGTTCTTCAAATTTACAGACCCGCGTGCCGGCCAAGCCATGCTGCATCGATTTGAACAAGTGATATTCAAGAAGCGCAGAGCTTCCATTCGAGCTGCAACAGTGTATTCCTGTGCAACTTTTGCAACAAGTGTCCAAAATGGCATTTCCAGTCAATTTGCGAGGTGGCCATTATTCCTCCTGTTGACCTTTTCTATCGCATGTAAATGTCTAAAGACAATTGATTCGTAAGCTGTCCAAACGTTCTTTGAGAGTTTGAGGTAGGTTTTCGACCAAGAATTCTTGCAATGCATTGTTTTCGAGCTGTTTTAATCCGATTTATGTTTTTGTTTATTTAAATTTAAGACCATTATTACTCACGTTGGAAATTCACTACTGATTTCAATCAAATCAAAGTTTCAACCGATATCTATTGGCATTATTATCCATAAGAATTTTGCTTGACAACTATGTATCATCACAAAGACTTGCGCGCCTAAGTTGTAATGTTATTGAAGAGAAGAAGAATGACATGAAAGGCCAAGAAAGAACTGAAAGTAAATTACTATGAAACTGATTCGCCAAGACAAAGTCATTCACTAGTCATTTCACGCATTCATTTATTCATTTCTTCCTAAATTGTTATTGCATTCGTTGGAGCCTGAGTTTGGTCAGCCTAAATACTCTCACCCCAAACTATGATGTAAATGGATTACAAGCCAAAGATATTAAGAAAATACCAAGATGCAGGAGAAGCATCTAAAGCAAATAATTCAACGCTCCGTTGCAACATAGGTTAAAAGGGTAAAGTCAATGGAAATTCACATTAGTGGTTACTAAACCACTAAACATCCAATTTATCCAACCGCGTATTACAACCATAGGTAAAACATTGATGAAATTGCATTTAACTACGTGCGTTATAATTGTCGTGGAATTTTGTAACACTGGCATCCTTCTCCGAGTCTTAAAATAGCCATTTTCCTCGTTATTGAAGAAATATTTGCGCGCGGTATACGAATGAGCCGTTAAATACCAACAATTCTCACATAATAGCGGGAATAGTATCATAATTGTACTAAAATAAATATATAGTTTCTATATGTATGCGGAATATTCCCTTTTCTTATCTGTCTTCGACTTGCATCATTTCGGCTATTTTCTGGCAAGGCATCAATGCCGAAACATAATACTTATATACAAAGTATTACTGGAATGAATCATTTTTTCGCTTCCTAATAGTCGACGGCGCCCTCAATATTTGCGATAAACTTCTTAGACTTCATAGGCTCTCGTAGGTGCCTACACTATTCAACTATTCTTTTGATCTTCAATTGTCCGTCTCCGAATGCTCCCTGTGGGGCGTGAGTGACGTATTCTCACTCCGTGTGCCAGCGGGCACCGCAGGGTTAAGTCTTATAAGCAGGCATCTGCGTTAAACCCCCCTGAAACACTTCTGTCCGTCTCCGAATACAAGGATTTCTGGATGTTATGAAAAGAATATTGAATCTAATGGATATCCAAGTCGTACTAGACAAAAAGCTCTAAAAGAGAGTTTAATCACATTTTTAGTCGAATAAATTCGATTCTAATTTTTACGTTTGAATTTTTCGCTGTCGATTGTCAGATCGATGTATTTTTCTTACTATTGTATTATATTAAATATATTTCGCTCTTGGAATGACTGTCGAGTAGCATATTCAACGGAAAGCAACAAAAAAATATGATCGCGAAATGAATATATTTCATGAAATTGATAGATATAACGGCTACCCCGACAACAGAAGTAAGAAAAAACATATAGTGTAAGGGCATCTTTGATACAATCAAGTCAGTTAGCATTACTTTGTATTTTGATTGCGAGCATAAATATCATGAAAGTGAGCTTCTCACCTCAGTGAGTAAACGTGAGATCTGCTTGCAAATGCAAAGCATTTGACTGTGAATCTTTATGGCTCTTTGATTTTGCTTCGTACACACATTGACAGTTGCTGATAAGACTTTCGCACAATAAGAAAAAATTAAAACATGAGCTCTAGCACGGCAGCAGTCGATTTTGAGAAGGAATATTCGCCTAGTTTAAATATAAAACGTTTCCAAAATTATGAAAAACCTTATGAAAAAGTTGTGCAACATTTCATAAGCCAAGGGAAAGCAGGTATATATCGACCCATATCTGTTGTGAATTGAACTAAACTTAACAGTAAATTTATCCAGCTACCACATTGGCTTTTCGTAACCATAAAGTCCGCGAGAATGTGCGCTATGGAGGTTTAAATGATAATCAATTAGTGGACATCATCTATAACGATTCCGAATTCGGTAAATTATGTTAAGATTTATTTCATCCATCCATAAAGCACACAAAACATTCTTATTGCAGGTTCTCCCATTTTTGCTTATATTCACGGTGGTTACTGGACATCTTTGGACAAATCGAGTTCAGGCACTTTTGTTGGTCCTTTACTAGAACAAGGCTACCGTGTCTTATTGGTAGATTACAATCTTTGTCCTACGGTTACTTTGGAAGAATTATGCCAACAAATTAGAAACTTTTTTAAGTGGCTTCAACATTACGCCAAAGAAACTCAACCAAATAGCATTAACATTTGCGGCCATTCAGCTGGAGCTCATTTACTTTGTCAAATTTTTAATGAAGATTTCTTGGGACAACAACAACCGGAACTTTATGCAATCAATCATCTATTCTTAATTAGTGGCGTTTATGATTTACGAGAACTATGGGAATTGACTTGTTGTAATGAGAATAATAAATTAGGCTTGGATGCAGTTAGAGCGGAACACTTGTCGCCCTTATGTTGGTCTTACAATAAGAAGTTATTGCTATTTCATAATAGGCAAGACTTACAAGTGCACGTAATGGTCGCTGAAAACGACAGTACAACTTTCATAAAACAATCGCACTCATATGCGGAGAAGCTGAAATCAATAGCACTGAAAGTGGATTATCAATTATTCAAAGATTACGATCATTTTAATATAATTGAAGACACCGCCATACCCAACTCGATTGTAAGTTTGTATATAAAAGAAAAATTGAATTTAAAATAAAGAAAACAAGTAAGAAAACTATATCGGGCGGATGCCGAATCTCGCGTACCCACCACTATGCTTTTCCCGTTCTCCTCTCCAAGTTCTTTTATTTGACACCCATATCGTTGGTATTATTAAGAAAAAATTAATCGCGGTGTCTACTATATTCATTTTAAAATTTATCCATTTTTAGGTTGGATAAAATATCTTCATTTGAGGAGTGTAAAAAATAGTTTCAAAAGTTTTGTCTTCTTTACCTTATGATAAAAAAGCATTGCACCTCAAAAAAGTGAAAAAAATTAAATTTAATTATTTGTAACTTTTTGTGGACACGGCCGATTGATTCCATATTGGATCTAGAGAATAACGTGTCTCGTAAAGCATATATGAAAAGTTTCAGCCTTCTAATTTTAATAATTTCTGAATAACGAGCAAAAATCCAAAAATATTTGTTTGACCACCACGCGCTTCTGCTCCGACCAATTTAGCTCATTTTTACTACCAACCTGCGTGCAGAAATTTTTAATGTTCCTACCAAATTTGAAGCCGGTATCTTCATTTTTGCGACCAGGACACACCGCACAAACGGACAGACATTGGTATATTAATTCAGGATTTTACGCTGATCAAGAATTTCTATTCTTTATGCGGTCTCTGCTCTCTCTATGGAAAAAAACAAAGTTAGTGTACGCCTATTGTACAGTGCTAGATATAAAAAATGACAAATATCATATATGATAATAAGATATTAACTCATTAATGTACTTAATATACGTAAAAATGGAGTATAGATTGTCACGATTGCTTGACATATGAAGGCAGTTGCATTGTTTTGGTTATGCTATACCAGTTCGCATTAAACGCTTAAAGTTTTCGACTGCAATTCTATCAGCATAGTAAGCTGCCGTTTTTTAAAAAAAAATATGATTTTAAAGTACAAAAAAAAACGCACTACCAAATGATTAGTACGACAAAAGTCAACTCGAAGTTTATTCACTCCTTTCTAGTTTCTGTTATATACTTATATGATTGATAAGTTTTTGCTGCACTTTACAACGTTGACAAACAAAATAAATTTTTCCTATGTACTTAATCAGCTGCTAACGAGTTTGCAATAGACACATATGTGTATTCTCATTTTGTTGACATTTGAACACGTCATAAACAAAGAGGAGAACGAGCGAAATTTATAAAAGAAAATTTTATTAAATTAAACAAAATGAGTAAGACTCTACAAGAAGAAGATACAAATTCGACTTTGTTTTACGCTCGCAATGAATATTATATCGGGAATTTTTTGGGTTCAGTAAATTTTGTGCTTCCGGAGCAAGGTACTGCCAGCACTGAATTGCTATCGTATATGTATTTGTCGTACTTGGCTATAGACTCGGGACGTTTGGGTAAATTCATTAGAAATATATATAAACACCTTAAATATCATATTTATCACAATTTTAAAAATCATTTTTAGTGGCCAGTTATGTCAAGGAAGACAATGAAACACCTTTGTTAGCTTTTCGCTATATGCATGAAGCCTTCGAGCAACCCGAAAAAATTGAAGATATACTAAGTAAACTTATGGATAAAGTAGCTATTGATGAAGATGAAACGAATATCTGGCATATAGCCACCGCTATTATCTACTGTTATAATAACCAGTTTGAGAATGCATTAAAAATTTTGCATGGATCGAACAATTTGGAATCTATGGCTTTATCAGTTCAGTGTTTGTTGCGCATGAATCGTATCGATTTGGCTAAACAATTGATGGGGAAAATGCAAGAAATTTCAGATGATCATACGCTAACACAACTGGCCCAAGCATGGGTGGCTTTGAGCACCGGCACTGAACAGATGCAAGATGCATTCCATATTTTTCAAGAATTCTGTGAGAAATACAAACCGACACCTCTGTTACTGAATGGCCAGGCAGTAGTTCATATAGGTTTAGAGAGATATGAAGAAGCAGACGCGGTTTTAAGAGAAGCCTTAACGAAAAAGCATAACGATTACGACACCTTAATTAACTTGATGGTTCTGGCACATCTTACTGGCAAATCATCTGAAACTATAACGCGTTATTGGGACCAGTTGCAACAATTTTTTCCCAAAAGCGAATTTGTTTTAGATATGGAAAATAAATCCGCTGAATTTGATAAATTATGTTCGCAATATTCTGTAGAAGAGACTTTAACCCAAGCTTAAGTCCGCAACATAGTACCGTATTCTTTTGTTTATTAACTTTTATAAAATGTGTACCATTATTATAATAAATGCTTACGTGTTAATTGAAAAACGTTTATTAAAGTCTTATGAGTAAATTTCTAAACAACGTTAATAGCTGGAAAAATAAAAAGAGCAATAGGTTATCACCCATTTTTTTTTTTTTTTTTTTTGGAAATAATAATAAACCTACTTTTGTTTGAACCCATATTTTTTACGTTCGTAAAATAAGTCCGTTTTGGAGCTGCCAAGATTGACAATTTTCGGGCAACCATCTCTCTAGAGATGAGAAAGAAAATAAGCTTTTTAATTTCTTTTTTATAGTACATTTGAGGATTCATTACGTCTTTTTCTTGAGTCGTGCACTCTTTGCAATAATACGCATCTGAGACTCCAGGACCACCGCATATCACACATCTTCCCTGATAAGAGCCGTAATTACATTCATCGCATATGCGGACCAGAGTGCAGGGTCTCACATAAGAATCACAAATTACACATTTTCCATCACATTTTTCGCAGAGACGGCCGATAGCTGCGGTACATTTAATTTATTTCAAACGTCTTACGAAATTATTAAATTTCCTTACCCACACCCGGCTGCTTTCGACAGAATATTAAATCTGGATGATGTTTAGCCATTTGCTTACGATTTTAATTATAATTGCGCGAAAAACTACAAAAACTTCGATTTAGTTTGACAGTGTATTTTGTTTACCTTCAAAAAACAGCTGGTCAAAAAAAAACATGCTTCTTCTTATTTATAAATAATGGCTAGAAATTAACCGGAGGCGTATAATTAACGATTTTAATTTTTTTTGTATATAAAATAGAATATCTTATTAACTCTTACTTTAAATTTACTCTACTGTAAAGCCTGTCAATAAAAATCCGCTATTGGTTTGCATATTGACTTCCGGATGTGTACGGTTGGGTAATATTTGGTACATACGCATCCAATTTGAAGTCAAATGCAAGTTTATCACTTTGGAATTGTTAGTCTTTAAATCCACATACAGTTCCGTTAGAACTTCTCGGCAAAGACTGAATATTACAATTGGTCTAGAAGGTTTAATAAACTGTAACAATTCTCTAACTAAATTGGTGGGATGTTCTTTAGCTGCTATAAACAGTGAATCAAATTTTTCACGCATTAACAAACAAGCTCTACGATTTTCCAGTTGCCATTTTTGATGAACATGCCCCTTATTAAGAGGCTTCATAAGGCAATCATTATTTACGATAGCGGTTTCCTGTATTTGTTTACATTCATCAGAATCATTTTTAGTTCGAGTCGCAGGAATTTCCTCAACATTATTTAGAGAGTTTGTTTTTTGTCCAGCATTTTCTGCAATTAAATAAGCTTTGACTGTTATTTTGCAACATTCCACAACAATCTTTACCTTCTTTTTGATTTTGAGTTGCTGAAATTTCCTCAACAACATTATTTATAGAGTTTGTTTGTTGTCCAGCATTTTCTGCAATGAAATAATAAGCTTTGACTGTTGTTTTACAATATTTTATAACAATTTTTACCTTCTTTTTGATTTTCCTCCTTTTCTATTTCACTTTGTAATTTCGGTCTTTTTATGCAAGGTTCTAAATGTTCATTGCAGTCTGCATTTTCATCCTCTTTACTATCTTCACCTTGATAGTAATCCCGTAAAACTGAGTATATGTTTACTGAGATGCATCTTCGTCCTTGTTCTTCTGGAAAATTTAATGCCAACAAAGCCTGTTGTTGCGGAACATTGCCAGGATGCATATGTACGAGGCATGCTTCCGTGTTAGAACCTATAGCATTCAGAAATGCTGCAGGCAATAAGCCATTTGTACCACTTTCATACATTAAATAGTTTCCATAAGCACTTACGCCCGAATATGATATGATTTGTGACAAAGTATCCATACGTATGCTCATAATTTTTTCTGCATCCTGGCGATAATAGATCTCAGCTATCAGACGTATATTAGGTTGTTTAATTTGCACAAATTCGAAATATTTTTTCTCTTTTTTCTTCAAATACTTTTCCTGCGAATATTCGGTTTTGGTGTGAAAAGTTTTTGAATTCTCAACAATTTTTTCAATAATCTTTGTACTTTTATTGTACTCGTCCCGCAGCTGTTCTATATCGTCAGATTTGAGCGACTGCGAATCGCCGTCGTCGATTATATTTCGATTATCTATACCGCTAGAGGATATCCCTAATGCTTCCCGGGATACGGCTTCCCGTATGTTAGGCAATTCAACATCTGTGCAAATTTCCAAAGTATGGAGACGTTGACGTCCTCTGTGACTTTTTCCTAGATCCTCTTTCGGGCACATTTTGAACGTTGAAAAATACGGCTTATCTAAAATATTTCCTAATTCCAATTGTTCTTTACCTAAAGCGGCTATAGCAGTTATACTACTGAATTTAACCAGTTTTGTGTATTTTTGACGCTGCAAGATGATATAGTCTCCCAATTGTATTTTTGGTTGTCCATCATTGGTGTCATTGGTAGTCATATTCGTACAAGTTAAACTTAATTGAAATTAAAATATTTCTCTATGAACACAAATAAACAGACTGAAGAAGCTAACACGTGTTATATAACGTCCCCGTCTTTCTGTGATGTCATAAATGAAAATATTTCAGCGTTGATGTTTTGAAAGATTCAAATAGTTGATGGAATCAGTTTATAAAATAAAGGCAATTGTATATTACAGAATTTAAGAAAATTGGATAGATTTCCGACTTTTGTTTATGAAAATGCCTCGACCTCCGTAAGTTTGAACCAATAGCCGCATTCACAACGCTTCGGACAGCCTTTTTCCAACCACATATAGTTAACGAAACGGTTATCGTTACCTAAAAAAGAGATGTATTTTACCCATTTCAAAGAAAGATTTTATCTTATTTAACGCAATTCACATTACAAGTACTTACAAATACAACCAACTATACGCCCATTAAAGGCCGATGGTATTAAAGTTGGATTCTCGGCCGTACCACTGCCCCTTTTAATAACATCTGTGTGATAAGGATCACATTTGCCACTTAGGAAAGCTAGCATTTCCTTTTTTTCCAAACCTGTAGCGTGTTCGAGTGGATGTGCCATTTCTTAATATTAAATAAAAGAAATTTTTTCACAATTTTAATTAGACTCAAAATGATGAAAAAACCTTGTGCTCCTTGCGGTTTTTTCGCTGTTGGTTTTTTCGAAAGGTCGCGCTTCGGAAATCCCACTTTATCTAGCAACCGCTTTAAAAGACCATCGGCTTTTAGGATGGGTTGATTTTTTGATAAATATCGTTTAGTTGCTGGAGCTTTTTCCAAGAGACGTTTAATCACCGAAGACATTTTTTCTAAAGACATTTATTCACAAGTCTTCTAATAAAGAAACTGACGTATTATGGCAGCATATTCAAAGGCTACAAAATTATTTAAAATTGCAAAGTAGTAAAAGATATATGGTTTTTGTTTCGTTTTTCTTATTATTGTTGTTGTTTTATTGGGCTTAAACTTAACAAGCGTGTGTACCGTCTTCTATCGACCTTTTAAGTTTAATTATCGTTAGCAATTTTCGTGCATTATCGATTACTTCACAACGAACGTCCCCCTTTGAAAACTTTCTGGAGACATTTAATTAACGTGTGTTGCTGATTTTACTTGATGTATTGACTTTTTTTTTATTATTATTAAAGAGTTACTTTTTACTTAAATGTTTCAATTAAACATAAAACCGAAAGCGATTTATTTTTTTGTAAGTAGAAGTTGATGACTAATTTAAACAGGCGCCTTCTCCACCAATTTAAACCAATGGCCACATTCACAGCGTTTAGGTGAATCTTTTTGCAGCCACATCCATTGAACGTAAGTCTGATCTTCTTCGCCTAATAAACATGGAATTGTTAATGCAGTGTTACAACTATTCATTTACAAAAAAAAAAAAAAAAAAAACTTACAGATGCATCCTACAATACGAGCCTCAAAAGCGGATGGTATTAGGTTGGGATTTTCCTTGGTACCAGCACCACGTTTAAACACTTTCATATCGAAAGGGTTGTCATTACCGGCAGCTTTAGCCAGTAATTCACGCTTCTCAATGCCAGTCGCATGCTCGAGGGGATCATTCATCACTAAAAAGATTAGAAATAAAACATAACTTTACGAATAAGGTTTCACAATGAATTGAACAAATATTTGGCATTTGAGGAAAGGTTAAAGCTGTTCTAGAAGAAACCGGCAACACTTTACATTAGAGGAGCTAATTTAAATTGAGACGATATATTTACAGACTAGAACACATAGTATTTTCAAGTCACGAAATTTTTAGTAAACAGAAAAAAAAAAAACAAAATTATATGAGCTATGAGCAAGTGTTATGACGCCGCCGAAACGCTGGCTGTCAATCAACGGAGTTACATAAATCATTAAATAAATGCATATATCAAAATAGATACACTTGTTCAAATATGAACAAACAAAATCATTACTTTTTTTTGATGCACTGAATATGTTTTATAACCATTTCCCACAGATGATTGTAATTTTTATAAAAAAAACCAAAAATGGTTACATAAAAATCTGCGCAGTATAGTTATCAGGATCTATAGATTATTATGAAGTCCGCTAAGGTGTCATTCCAAGTTAAGGATATTTTGATGCAGAAAAACCGACTTTTCATATATTACGTAACATGTTCGAGGAAAATTCGCCGTGCTTCTGATGTATTGTTGTATGTGTTTAACATTAAAATAACTGCCCAAGCGGTGGGAGTGGGCGAGACAGTCACACTTCTTTTCATTAAAAAAGAGCAAATTTAACCTTTTCCCCCTTTTTCCTTTTAGAAGGATTGGAAGAAACTTACTTTTACAGAAACGTACTGGAGTGTATGTAACATATCGGCGTGCCGCGGCACGCAATGCCATGCGTCCACACATTGAAGCCATTTGATGTATGATTTTGTTTTTATGGATTTCTTGAAATTTTATTATTATTTCTTTTTTTTGGTTTGTTGAGTGGAGATGGACTAAGCCAATAGATTTGTGGATAGAGAGATAACAAACTGTCGTAATTTTTGGCCACAAATATATGTTAAGTGTAAATGTGTGTGTATGGATAATTGTGCTAGTTGAGTTGTTGAAAGTCAAACAGTGTTGCAAACTTTGGCTGAAAACGAAAAGTAATGCCATAGTTAGAGAAAATTATTGAATGCAAAAAAAAAAAAAAACTAGAAACAAGAAACAAAATCTAAAACGCTAAGTCTAAAATCTAAATCTATCTTGTCAAAAATATGACGAAGTATTTGATAGCAAAAAGTGTAGCTGGAAGAGGCAGTGTGACTGAGATTTCACCCTATTTTCAAAAAAAAAATGATAATTCGATTTTACCTTATTTCCAAAAAAATTATAATTCGATTTTACCCTATTTTCAAAAAAAAATGATAATTCGATTTTACCCTATTTACAGTCGCTTTTCGATTCAAGAGTGTCCAAAATATTAGCTTCTCGTTGAAGTCCGTTCATAATATTTTGAAATTTTCGTAGCTTCCTGAAGGAAGAAAGGTTTCATCATCTTGATCTTAACTAACTACTTGGCTGTAAAAAAAGAGCATTTTCAAAAACGGGCCACTCACCAGATACGACATTGAGAATATGTTGAGGAGTTGAGGGGATCAGTTCAGTACAACGTTTTAATATTCGATTTTCAAATGTTTGTATACGATTCTCAATATATTTTGCGAAATTGCAACATGTGGAATGTGCAAATTCAATTTTGGACCTGACTAAAGATTTGTATACAGTCGAAGCATTTTTGAGAGGCAAGCCTGACTGACTATTAGTCATGAGTTTTATGATGTTACATCCAGAGTGACAGTCTTTGATGGCTTTTTCACAATGCCCACAAAGGGCTAAGATGTCATATAAAATTCTACCAATTCGAAGAGATTCCACCTGATTAACTTTAGTATCATTGATAAAGAGCCTGATTTCACGTTTAGAACCTTTGGAAAAATAAATATTTGTTTTGCTGGGGTTAAAATATAAATTAAGGTCGGCGCATTCATCGAAAAAAAATTAGCTTTCATCGAGAGGTTATTGACAGCAGCTGAAAAAGATGAATCAGCAGATACAAGATCATCCAAAGATGATGTGTATAAATTGAAGAGTATGGGGCTTAAACAACTGCCTTGTGGGATATCACCGGTTATTTCAACTTTTTCAGTACCCGTCAACAACACACGCTTGGATAAAAAATTAAGTATCCACAGCTGCACTTGAGGAGGAATCGAAAAGTTTAATAGAATTCTACTGGGCTTAATCAAGTTGACACAGTCATAGGCTTTGCTGATGTCCAGGGAAAGCATGACAACCATTTTACCTGCTTTTCTTAAGCTAGCTATGAGAAAAGGTAGTTCGTTAACGCACATATTCGTAGATTTGTGTTTTTGTTAGGCGTAAGAACGAGCCGGAATAAGGTTCTCAGTTTTCAAGAAATCACTTAGTCTCTCCTTAATCAGGAGGCTGATAGTCTTTATGAATGCAAATATCCGTGAAATTGGTCTGAAGTACCTTAAATCATTTAAGTCTTTACCTGCCTTAGGAATGGGAACTATTTTATACAACGCAAATCTGAGGGTATAAAGTTAATGGACCAGCAGTTGTTGATTGCATGCAAGAGAATGCTACAGCTTCCTCTAGACAGTGCTCTTAGCATGTCGCACTACCTGCAGCAGCAGCCCTCTTTCTGCAATGTAAAACAAACATTACCGGCCTTGATCGGAATATCGAACACAAGCGCAATCAATGATGCCAGCGCAAAATTTTTTTTTGGCTAAAATATGGGTTGTTTCCGTTATATGTAGAAACAACTTCGATATGTGTTATACTGTCAAATTGGAGATATATGTTTAAAAGTTTAGTTTGTGTAAGTGATTTAAACACGTTCTTGCAGTTACTTTGAACCGCTTTAACGACTTTTGAGAGAAAGAAGCGCTTACTGAAAATGAATTTCATATTCGTATAATCACGAATCTTTATGCCTCCGAATGATTAAACAATTCAAATATTTTTTTACAGATTAAACAATTAAAATATGTTTTTGCAGAGTTGCGAAATTCCAAAATTAGGCTGTTGGAATAATAAAGTTTCCTTGTGTTTTCATCTGGAAACAAAAGATGAATCGACCAATTCATGTAAATTGGATTCAGAATTACAAAACATTTCAAAAATTAAATACAAAAATATTCGAATATAAACATGATGGGATATAAAAGATTCCCTAAAGCTGCAGTGCATTAAATGGGAATATTTCATTTACTTCAACTTGCGCTCAATGTATATGTTAGTCGTTTTAAATGCAATACGTCTAGCCAAGGAAAAGTTAAGGCAGTCGCAGAGAATGTGCTTTATAGTGAGAGTTTGTCCACAACAGCAAATTGGGGAGGAAGACTTCTTCAAGATCCATTGGCGAGTTGCAATTGTATGACTAAGGCGAATTCTCGAAAATGTTTGGATCTTCGTTTTCTCAAATTGGTTGGATATAAAGGTGGAGTTATTTGGGGGTTAATGGAGGAGTAGTGTTGATGATAATAATGTAAATTGATTTCGTTTAATGTTCTATATCTAAATGTAAGATGTAGTTTTTTGAGAATAAAATTTTCCTTTACTGTGTGCTGCTTATGGAAACACTTTTTGAGAGTAGCTTTTCTGAGAATGAAAATTCATATTGAAAGTAAAGTTTTGCTTTACTGTGTGTGTTTCTAATGGAACTTATTTTGAGAGTAGGTTTTCTGAGAGCAAGAGAAAAACGTTGAACAAAGCAACACTACAAAGTAACACTTTGATGAAAACAACCATAGAGATTTTTTAAGGAAATTTTTAAACATCGCTTATAGGTGGCGCTAAAGAAAATTAAAAATTTTGATCAGAGTTGCCTGCACGGCATGCTAAAGATTGTTGCTAAGAAACCGGAAATGCGGCAAAACATTCTATTTAATTATTTTCAATTTTTTTACTATAAAACTTAAGTAAACAACAATGTCTACAAAACATTTGATATGTTTTGATGTTTCGAAAAGCGAACGCTTCCAATTGACCGACAATTATAAATTATTGCAACGCAAATTGAAATCCCTTTGGACAATAGAACAGTAAGTTGAATTTTTTATATAAGAAATATCTCCTCACATTTTTCTTGACTTTAAGAAATGACACTGAATTAAAAGCCGAAAAATTGCAACGGGCTAAAATCTTTGTTTTGGCTGGTCCCCAAGATCGTTTCACTCAAGATGAATTCGAAGTATTGAAGGATTTCGTCAACAATGGCGGTAGTTTGTGGGTTTTATTAGGCGACGGCGGTGAACAAGAATTTAATACTAATGTCAACTTCTTTTTGGAGCAATATGGCATTTATATAAACAGCGGTAAGTGGAAGGAAAAAAAAATTGAAGCTTCATCTTTGCTATCCGTCCACAAATCGTTAGTGCTATTTGCAATTTATTAAAACGTTTGTAACACTCATAAGGAGGATTCCTAGATGCGGCATCGTGGCATCAAATTTTAATTCGATTGAGGTACGATTGCGTGGATTGCAAAAAAGAAGATATCGTCTTAAAATTTACCAAACACATTGAAAGTTCTTGTATTGAAAATGGGACAAAATCCGTCAAAGTCCAACAGCGATATACCAAAGCGAAGAACACTCTAAACCTTTCCAGGATAAATTGTTACAATCTTCATCCAGCTTTTCTAATGCATACGAAGCTTACACTATCACCTTTTCATGAAATTAGGTGCGATGTGGACAGGGCAAATAGAACACCATTTACTAGCGTTACTTCTTCCCCCTACGCATACAATAATGTATTTACTTTACTTTCCTTACAGATTCTGTTGTACGTCCGCATTATTATAAAGATTTCCATCCAAAAGAGTGTTTCATTGGTGGCGGTATAGTATGTGAGTCTTTGTGGCGCCATTTGTTGGAGCAAAATATTGAGAAACTGGATTACGATTTTACGGATGAGAAATATAAAATACATTTTCATTATCCTTATGGAGCGACTTTAAATGTTTCCGATCCGGCTAATGTTTTAATGACCACCGGCCCTGTTGTGTATCCCTTTAATCGGCCTTTGGCCGGTTACTATTATCAACCAAATGGTGGCAAAATTCTGGCTCTAGGTTCCGGTTATATGTTTCACGACAAGTACCTGGCGAACGATAAGACCAATGATGCACTTTTAAATTATTTCGTGAAATTGTTGGGCTCGCAAGATATCAACTACAAGCATTTGGATTTCAATGATTTGGAAGTGAGTTGAGAGGAAATTCGAAATTGAAATTAAAATAATTTATTATTGAATTTCCTTTTAATCTCACAGTTAAATGATCACAAGACTTTTACGGATATAGGTTTTGTGGCCGATCTGCCGAAAGCTTGCCTAATTGATTCTATCGGTTCCGAGATACCGGCCGACTTTAAGCAAATGTTTGACATGACTTTATGCGCACTGAGTAATCGTTTGCTAAAAGATGTAACGTCAGCCTATCATCGCTTGCATGTTAAATATGAACCGTTGAAAATTATAAAACCACAATTTGAGATACCCTTACCACCCCTCCAACTTGCGGTAGTTATTGTTTGTTAATGATTTTATCATTGTCGTTTTCAATAACAAAGCGAGCACAAATTTTCATGCATTCTAGACATTCCCACCGGTTTTTAGCGAACCGGCAGCACCTCCCTTGGAATTGTACGATCTTGATGAGGTTTTTAGTGCAGCACGCACACAATTAGCCAATATGACGGGTCAGTGCCTGCAGACGATACTGAGGAAAGATTCTCGTAAGAAGCCGAATTATAAAGAATTGGAGAACTATATTAAGGAATGTGCTCGCATAACGGCTATTATTAATGAGCAACATGATATGCCAGCGCGGGAGATTCTAAATATCGTTGCACAACAAATTGTCAACTATCGCCCCTATGACTAAAGTGCCGAATAAGGCGAAAGGAGAAACTTATAGTTTTCAATGATCTTCTTCTTGTTTTTTTTCGTTCTACATAATAGTAAATAGTGCTTTGTTCGGCACATTCCATCAAGTCGCCTCTTATCTTCGCTTATAAGCGCAGGTACCGTTACGGTTGAGAGAGAATGTTTCATTTAACATACATAGCTTGAATACGTAAATTTATGAAGAGTCAGTCATTTTCGCCAACATTTTTATTTTATTTTTTTCTTTCCCTTTCAAATAAAGTATAAAAATATTTTGCTGATTTCTTAATTTATATATTTATTTTTGTGTAAGTTAATCAGGAGTTGTGTTCGACATGAGTTATACATGAATTTTCACATGATAGTCGTTAGTAAAATCCCAGAAAACATTTTTTTAAATGAACTAAATATTTAAGTTCTTATCTTGTCATATCTTCATACCTTATACCGCTTTTGACGAACGGGTATTTTAAGTATGTGCGATCAAAAGGCCTGTTATTATACTGATCCAATCACAATAATATATCTGTTTGTTTGTCCATCTGTCCGTCTGCTGGCTGTTGGTGTATTTCGTAATTTTGATGAAATTTGGTACGCTGACGTGTTTTGGTCACAAAACCAAGATCGGAACGCTCATTCGATCATTCCCCACGATAACGCCTTATTTTGAAAATCCTTTGTATGGAAGAATATTATAATTTTCAGAATTGCGATACAGAAATCGACTAGTGATAGGATTTCGGTATTCTAAGTTCATGTGAAAAATTTGTATCAAATGTGCTCATTTTTTTGGGCACCTTGCGATGCGGCCATACCTAGGAAAAACATGTGAAAACATTATAATCGGGTTAAGCCGACTTTTAAATACCCTACACCTCATTGTCTAACACAGTACTTTTTTGTTGCCATAGAACAGAAAAATTTTACCCTGTTTTTATATCAACTTACTATTATGGAACCGTATATTAAAAATTAGCTCTCTTGGCAAATCTTTCCCTGGTTAAGCCAAAGAGTTTCAAAAATTGAGATACGTGTGCAAATTTCAGCACAATTAATTTTCAAATCAAATCGATTTTCCTCATAAAATATAACTTATAAAACTTAAGTTTTTCTGCCACAAAAAAAAAAAAATCGTTACGAAAAAAGGCGTGCGTGGTCTAAATTTAGCACAGTAAATTTTTTATCATATGAATTTCAGTTTTCCTTATATGAGAGGGAATTGAAAAAAAAATTCCTAGCCGGTTCAAACTTTCCACACCAATTTAGAGTGCCGAAATTTTATTAGTTAGCCATTTTTGTCGAGAAATTTTGGAAATTGAAATTTTTTCCAGATAACTTTTAAAGAGGTTACTATTTGGGGAGCGGTCGAAGAAGTGGGCCGATCCAAATCACTTTCAGTGGCGTTCGCCTATGGGTCAAAACACATGAGTGTACAAAACTTTTACATGGATGAACATCAGGCGCACGGATGGACAAATAGGCTTAGATCAATCCAAAAAATGATTCTGAATCGATCGGTATAAATAAAGGTGGATCCACTCTAAGCCCTTGTGCGTGTTACATACGTCCGCACAAACTTAGCATGCCCCTTTACCATAAGTGGCGTAGGGCATAATGAATATAAATAAAATTTTTAACGCATTAAAGTGAAAATTCGTTTATAATAATAATTTATTATAAATATTAATCTTAACATATTTGGATCACAAAGATCTATTTTTTAGATCGCATCTCATGCAGGCATTCCTGAGAAGCAAGAGCAAGCTTTTATATGGCAAAAATGTTTAACTTTGAATATTCTATGAATGAAAATTCATTGATAAGAGTAATTTAATATCAAAATTGTTTGGATCTATTTTTTGGGATGTCACCCCATTCGAAGATCCTCATGAATGATAAGCCCTTGAGCAAGCAAGGTAAGCAAGGTAAGGGTAAGCAAGAGCTTATATGATGTCAAAGTTAACTTTGTAGTTTTTTATGGCGGAAAAAGCCGTAAATTACTAAGATTCTTAAGAATTTTGATCATGTCGATTAATGTTTTAAGCGTCCTCCAATATGAGGGCTTCGTGAGTAGTATGCTTTCACATAAAAATGACGTATAATTTTTGTTGTATTGTCACGGCAATGAATGAATCGGTCTATTAACCGAAGTATTGTAGGGTATCTAATGGCTGTCTTGCCCGATTATCACGTTCTAATTTGTATGGAATATCAAATAAATGGATTCCTAAACATATAGAGTTATATCCGGTATATTATTATACGCGATAACACTTGCGGAGACTGAAGGACTTGAGACAAATCCGTCTTTTATAAGAATCACTTTTTGAATCGTCAAAAGTGTGTGTATCTGTCTGTCCGTCTGTCGTCTTCTTCAAGTGTTCTTGTGTTCAACTTACATGATGAAATATGCTCCATTGGCTCTTTTGGCCTAAAGAAGAATGCCATTGAAAATGATCCGGATCGGACCAGTTTTTCGATCATTTCTCATACACAACTTTATTTTGAAAAGCCATCTTATAAACAAGTATTTGAAGCGAAGTGGTTTGACGTATTACATAACGGGTCGTGACCCATGCTTTACTTGCTGTACAGGAAACTTAAGAGCGCCTGTAAAATAAACTGGGAACTCTTTGTCTTTGTATTTGTTGTAGCTTATGGGTACTGACCAAGAAAACTAACTTATCTGCTATTGAAAGTGTGCTCCGTTTATATTACATTCGCGGTATGGTCTAACCTCATTATCAATCTCCCTGTGTGCAATAATTTCTGAAGCTTTTATCAGATTTGAATAAGAAAATCGCAAAAAAGAAAAACGAAAGTTAGATTAGATACATCTCGAGCGAAGTCGTATTTTAATGAGGAGCGCTGGACGTTTAAGATCATAAATAAGAAGAGCATAGTATATGGCAGAGAATTATTTTCATATCCATAAAATTAATTTACGGCACATGGCAGATATCACTTCAAGCACCATTCAATGATGAAAGGAGCAAAAAACCATTGTAATGATATATAAGTGATTTTTTAGTTCTTTCTGTTAATGTTGCTACTGCTACTCAATAGTATTAAATTATTCCGAGCGTTGACAAATTGAAGAACACAAATTATTTAAAGGGGGGAGCATAAGTAATATCTTAAAGACTAATGATTAAGGGGATGCGTGCTTAAAACGTTTGTTGATCGTGTGAATCGCTTTGTTAGTAAATGTCAAAACGACGATTTTTCCCGTAAAAATTCTAATCTCACGAGAGTAATTAAATACGAAAAAAAATTATTGATTTGTTTGTTGGTTTGGTTTTTTTTCCATTCTTTTTTGTCGTATTTGCTTAAGGATTTTTGAAAGCTTAGGTTAAGAGATTTGTTTAAAAAACATTAAATAAAACAAACCGACATTTGTTGACAATAATTTAGTGATTTCATCACTATTGACTTCGAAGAATTGTGATAATCAGCTGCAAAATAGAAAAAAAAGGAAAACAACAAAAACAACGAAAGAGAAATTATATTAAGATCGAATCGTTTTTTTTTTTTTTTTTTTTTTATTCACTACTCGATATTGTTGAAAAGCAAAACTATTATTATATCGTGTGGTATCACACATTTCACTTTTTCATTGTTCATTGATAAAATATATCAAATCAAAAACCTTATCATAAGCGTTGTTGTCGTAGTCGAGTGTTGTGGACAAGGAGTGAGCAAAGTGTAGGCAATCGATATTCTTTACAAATTAATTCATTTTAGTATTTTAAAATATGCGCTCTCAAGCTCTCAAAGTAGCGTATAGGGGAAGTATTACTTAGTAAAGATCTGTCGTGTACTAAGAAAGGTTTACCAACTGACTAACACATTATCCTGTAAGGTGTGATGTAAAGTAGATAAGACTTTTTCACACTAACACCTTATAGAGGCGCCGTTTATTGGTGTCTACCGCGGGATTGGGAAAATACAACCTTCACTTTCACGGACGTTCAGAAGCCGAGTTATACCGCTATGACTCTCTTCGGCATAATGTTGTCCTCGCATTGACAATTAATTTTGCACATAAGTGGAGGCCGCACAATCTTACAGCAGCAATTGCCTTACAAAAGGTGGCACAAAACGAGTTTCAGTGAATTGTTTCAAAAAAGGAACCATTCATTTGATTATATATTAGATCAGGCCACTAGATAGAGGAGATAGGAAATTAGATTAGCGTTTGCTTACGGTCGACTTGAAAATCGGCCTATAAGGAAGAGTAGAGTCATTGTAGCGTATTGTGCGCAATGCACGACATTCTAGAACGAGCGATTGAGAAGTAAAGAGTTTTATTGCTGGAAGCATCTGTCCTATGCCGTATAGAACATTTGTTCGGAAGGTTGTCATTTGCAAATAGCCACAAAGCAGCCCACGTTGCGTTAATGCTAACGCTAAGGCATCTCGATGTTGTTGAGATCAAAATTTTCCGAGAAAGATCTGCAAGCTCTTTCCCACGCATGCGTTGTTGTACTTCAACCCTGGCAGGATGTAAGTGTAGGATTTGTTCGTAGATTGGCATGAAGGCTGCTTTTAAAATCCAGGCCTTTGCCAGGATACATATTTTATTCAACAAACGCCGTTTTCTATCCTCAAGTCCATCAAGAGCCAGTCGAAGAAGAACGTCTTCTTCTGCATTGATGTACCTTCTTCCGCACATCTTCTGTTTGATAAGTGACAGCACTACTTATCTTATTCGCCCGATTTCATCCAGGTATTTTAATGAGGTTTCAACCTACAATGTTACTGACGCACGGCGCATGAGGCCATAAATAAACGGCCATTAGGAAGAGAGCGAGAGGAAGACCAACGTGTTACGGCATCTACGAGGACTAAGTCCCACAATTACAATTCTTATCGAACGATTATTTATTTATAATAACACAAAACGATAGCCGTGACAGCTTGCGAAAGAGAGGAAAACCACCCAAAGCCATACAACTTGCCTGCTTGATTGCATTAACTGAATTTTTGCGTGCACACTGAAGGAAACACTTC